TTTCCCCTTGTCTTGTCATTAGTTGCCCTATTTCAATTCATATATTCATATATAAAATATATATATATTTTTAAAGTGTTTATGAAGGGTCTTTTTGTAGTTAACATCCATCCTTACCCTGCTTTACTAGCATTGATAACAACAGAGATTTATAATATTAACCAGTTGCCTCAAGGAGAGCGGCGCTTCTTAGTCACAACAAAAATAATGACAATTTTTTTAAAGCCAAGAGATCCTTTTATAATTTCTTTGCAAAACCAGATTTAAAGCACAGTATTAAGGAACAGTCTCTGCCAGATAGGGAGTGAAGACGACAATGATTCATCAAAAAACCCTCCATCCCTTTCCGTAGGGGTTGTTAGCAGTAGCCATTTCCAGATGCGTTCGAGTAATTGAATATGGATAATGGGCAATTACTGGATTGTTTGTTTAGATTCTGCATTTTTTTTTCCCTGTGGTATCTATAAACAGCATTGCTCATCGCAGGCACAAAGTAAACTGTCTTGCTACTGGAAACTGTTGGAACTGTCTTTGCTTTTTTTCTGTCCTTTGAAAACTCTTTTAGTTTGAGCTCGTGGGAATTGCTAGTGCCACCCTCTATGTTTTACTGATCCAAAATGTGAATATAAACTCAATATTTTAAAAAAAGGGAAAAAAAAGGCTTTCTTGACTGTCATAAAGCCCTTCCCCAGTCCTCCGTGGAGCTACAGAGCAGCATCTTTTTCTTTGGAGCATAAGAAAATAACGAAGGGAGGAGAAAAATCCCTGAGCTGATGTGACCGCCGGTGACCTCGTGGGTGGGAATTGGCTCCCGGAGCAGAAGGAATTCCTCAGATTAAAATAAAACCTTGTCCTCTGCTTTCCAAACAGCACTTCTGTGCCATAGATTATTCTCCACTTGCTTCTGCCATGGAGCGGATGGGACTTTCTCAGGAGCACTTTCATGTCCCCTCAGCTCCCAGTGTTGGCCAGTGAAGCTGCCACTGGTTTCTCCTCCCCTTCCCTCCCAGACCCACCACCCCGGCTCCGCTCGGGCAGGCGGGTGAATGGGATAATCTGTTTTTTTTCAGGGTGACATCACTTCCATCCCGGAGCTCGCCGATTACATTAAAGTCTTCAAGTAAGTGCTGATGGGAAGAGATGCTTGTGAAACTGGTAATGTCTATGAATAATTAATGGTTCTACTGCCTAATATCCTTTTTATTTATTATTTTTTTTAAATATCTCCTGGCCTCAAGATCTTGCTGCACACCACTGTGTTATCTCGTGTGAAAAGCCACCCAGCAATCACTGTGTAATAACCACAGCTCACAGCATCTGTGCTCTCTTGCTATTAAAATATTTTACTTCTTGATCCTGTAGCGCAGTCACTTAAGTATTTCACATTATTTGAAATATTCAATACAGAAGTTGATCAGTTCTTAAATATAAAACCCCAGGGTGTTTTCCCACTATCGCTGCCCCGGCAGGTACACAGAGCTTGCTGCATCCCACAGCCATCAGCACATGCTGGGATATTTCTCTTAACACAATTAATACCCAGGAGATAATCAAACCATCTTAAAATTAATGAAACTTAAAAACGTTGCTCAGATACTTCTCCTGGTTTGCAGGAGGCTGGATGAATTCTGAACAACCAGGATCTTGGTCTATCATCTGCCCTGTCCTTGCCAGAAGGAGCAGGTTAAGCTGACTCTGCTCCTCTTCCATCTCACTCAGGATTTAGAGCTTTTTAGAGCTTTTTAGAGTTTTAATTTGCTTTGACTTGGACAGTGGTACGTGGAAACCAGGAACTGCAGCGTCTGGATTTTGAGTAAAGTTTTGGCAGCCTCGACTGTCTTTTTTGTAATTTATTGCCTGCTGCGGCGAGGGTTACGGTGAAAGTTCTGGAAACTGGAAATAATGATGAGATTTCACAGCAGAGCTCTAGGATGTAGAAGAAAAGCTGTAGGCAGCGAAATCACTCAGCAACAAGCTTTTATTTTATTAATTGTTTGGTTCTGGAGCCAGAACCTGCCACTTCTGTTCTGAAAAATTCACTTTCCCTCTCCAGAGGTGAATTAATAAGGTCTCCGTGTCCATCTGGGCTTGCACTTTGTCTTATGTGGGGCAAAGTTTCAGGGCTACAGCCTGTGCCCTGCATCTGAGTGGATGTTTTTTCCCTCCCCCTTGAACAAGCAAACAAACAAAAAACTTCCTCTTTCCTTTAATGCACTTATTTGCCAATAAAATTAAGCACGACTCGAGGAGCTAATTGCTTGCAAATTGAAGCACCAGTTGGTGGGGCTGGAGATGGAGCAGCAAGATGCTGCTGGTTCCCTCCCCTCACCCTGTGCAGCCCTGAACCCTGAGACTGGGATTTGAGGTTGTCCTGCCACAGTGGGGAAGCACAGAATTGCCATTTGCTCCTAAAAACGAGGGACAGGCAGTATTTCAGTGCCAGAAACCCAACATAAATGATGTGATGTTAGGAGCTGGCTCAGCTTTGGATGTGCCTCTTGTCACACTTCATCGAGAAGAAGCTGTAATATATGTCCCTTATATATAAGTCCTATATATATGTCCCTATACGTGCCTGGTGTTGCTGCAGAGGTGGGATGTTTCTCTCTCCCCTGCCAGCCAAAATGCCCTGTTTGTAATTTAAAGGAGCCCCCCCCAAAAAAACTCAAAGATAGTGAAGATGTAATCAAGCATCTTTAGCCAAGGATGGAAAAAGCTGCACGTGTAGGATGGCTTGGCTGGAGGTTGGTGACAACTTCTGTAGTGGAAAAGAGGCAGCTTTCAAAAGGAAATTGTGGTTGTGAAGTTTCCACGGGGTTGGACTGTGTGTTCCAAGGCTTTAGGAGGAGGAAAACCAGCAAAGGCAGGAGGAGGCAGCAGATGCCCTGAGCTCAGATGTCCATCAGAGGTGTGGGAACAGCAGGGTTCAGGCAGACACTGTGTTTCTCCCCCAGTTCCCCAGTTTCCCTGAGCAGCTCCAGGGAAATGAAAGTGCAGAGCCTCAAGGACAAGAAGTTGGGACCAGCAGTAGATGAGGATTCAGCAGCTGTTTCTGGGAAGGAGATGTGAGAAATGCATTGCAGTGAGAAGCTGTAGATACAGCCTTTGAAGAAGGTTTAGAAATTAGAGTGGGGGGGGGTTAAGAAGCTCCACAAAAGTCTTGGGCTTGTGGTGGGATGAGCAGGCTCGGGGTACCACCGTGTCACGTGGTGCTTCGCTTTGCTGCGGGCTCGCAGGGCCATCGCTGCTTCTGCAGAGTTGGGGAAAATCCATGTTTTCCACAGGAAGGAACTGAACCTTTTCTGATGTGGAGTATTTCAAAAGAAAACAAGAAGTGTACTCATGCATGTGCTTGACTGATAGGTCTTTTAGAAGTGCTGCTTCCTTTCAGAGCTCGAGCAAAGGGGTTCCAGTTTAATGTGGCAGGTGAAGAGGAGTATTTTGCAGCAGTTCATGGACACATCTAGTTTTGTAATACAGTTTTCCAGCTCCTCTCACCTCCCCCCCAAATTGGTGGGACCCTGACATGACTGAAGAGTCCAAACTTGCAATTGCAGCTCAAGTTCTTGACCCAACATTGAAATGAAAGGCTGGCGAGTGGTGGCTGGGCTCCCAGGCAGGGACTGTCCAAGGGGTGGGCATACCCCGGGCTGCTGACACCAGGTTTCCTGGGGCAGCAGCTTGGTTTTGGAACTTAAACCAAATGTGATGTTCTTCAACCTGTCTGGCAGGCCTAAGAAGCTGACGTTGAAAGGCTACAAGCCGTATTGGTGCACCTTCAAAGATACCTCTATCTCCTGCTATAAAAGCAAAGAGGAATCCAACGGGACTCCTGCACACCAGATGAACCTGAGAGGTAAGAGAAGCGTAAGCACCGTTGTTTTAATCCAGTAACAAGCTGCTCCTCTGGCGTCTTGTTTTCCCTCTGATTGATCTTCTTGGCATACCCAGTAAGGTGGGGCAAATAGGTTTAAAGGACTGAGGGTGAGTGGGTTTGATAGTGTGGCATATACTTAGACTTCCTCACTACAAGAAGGACATCTCACTCCAAGAAGGACATGGAGGTGCTGGAGTGTGTCCAGAGAAGGGCAACGGAGCTGGGGAAGGGTCTGGAGCACAAGTGTGCTGAGTTCCCTGTGGCTGAGGGAACTGGGGGTGTTGAGCCTGGAGAAAAGGAGGCTGAGGGGAGACCTTGTGGCTCTGTCCAACTCTCCCTTCTGAAAGGAGGGTGGAGAGAGGTGGGGGTGGGTCTGTTCAACCAAGGCCCAAGGGACAGGACAAGAGGAAATGGGCTCCAGTTGTGGCCAGGGCAGTTGAGATGGGATGTGAGGAAGAATTTCTTTGCTGAAAGGGTTCTGAGGCATTGGAAGGGGTTGCCCAGGGCAGTGGTGGAGTCCCCATCCCTGTAGGGATTGAAGAGTCGTATAGACATAGTGCTGAGGGACATGGTGGGCATGGTGGTGTTGGGTTGATGATTGGACTTGATGGTCTTAGAGATGTTTTGCAACCTTAATGATTCTGTGATTCTAGAAGGTGAGTATGTGTGACCCCAGGGGTGCCAGCTCCCCAGTAACACGGGGAGACAACTTGCCATTCTCCTTTTTCTCGTGGCTGTCCAGAAGAATTGAGCCAACTCCCACAGCGGAGGATAAGTTTGATCACACTTTGGCTGTGCTGGAGAGAACAGACCATTCTCTTCCTCTGCTCCCTTTTTTTTCCCTCCTCTCCCTGGTGCTGGATGTGAGCAGCCGCGCTCGAGCGCTCCCTGTGAGCCTCACACATGAGTTTTTAAATTCCTAAGGTCGCTGGCTTTTCTTATGTCAAGTTCAACACTCCTGCTCCAGCAGCCACCAAACTGCAGAAAGCTCATTATTTTCTCCATGAAGGCAGGAGCAGATGTGATGCCAAGTGACCTCGGGCTGCAGTCAGAGCGAAGCCCGGCCCGCAGGACCTTTTTGGGATCTTTTGACATATCTGCTGTGATGGCACTTTTGAAAAATCTCGGAGGCGGTGTTGAAGCAGTGCCCGGGCTAACTTGGCTAGTTCAGTTCATCACCCCACCCCGTGTTTATACAACCAGTTGTAGTCCTCTCCAGACACCGAAAGCGGGATGCTCACACCTCACCGCTGACTATAGCAGCCCATCTGAGATAACATTTAGGGGTTTCAGGGTGAGGGGCAGCACCCATCCAGCCACCTTTTCCTACCCTTTCATGAAAATTTTAGGGACTGTGAAAGTTTAACTGAGGTGGCAGCCAAACAAGGCACAGCCACTCACAGCCCCCCCTCCCCCAGGGAATT